GGCCTGTAGGGGGCGTGCATAAGTACACCAATATGCCTACCATCCCTGTCCTATTGTTTCTTTTTATTTTTCTTATATATATCCATTTCATGTATTCATAACTATGTTTATACTTATACCTGTTATCTTATAACTGCTTGACAAAATAAAATAAACATAAATAAATAAATGACTGGGTCTTATTTTCAGGGAAACATGGTATAACAAAGGATCTTACTTAACCCAATGACAATCCTTTAAGCAAAAAAGAGGTACATTACTTCTTAAAGTCTCATCCATTTAAAGTCTGCTGTACAGATTTTAAGAAAAATAACCATATTGTGAATACCTCGCAGCCCCTATCCGTTCTTTTAGCACTGATTTCATATCTAGATATGAAATGGGATGTAGATCCATATCTGGGGCAAATAAGACAATGTTAGATGTGATTGGCTGTTTTCCATGTGAATATCCAGTCGACTTTGACATGAAAAAAAAGAACAATTCTTGTTCTGTCCCATTTTTTTAAAATAAGGCAAGTTCTGTGTTTAAGGACATGCTCATTTCTATCTATCATAGGAAAATCGTGCTTATTTTTAATTAGATGTTACTAATTCCTAACTTCTGCCTTGGTCATTCTATTGTGGTATTCAAATGGCCCTTGTCTCTTTCTAAGTGTTTTGTAATTAGAATTGGAACTTCATCCCTGATATGTGATTAAAAGCTTTCCCATCTCCTAGCTGGGCTTTGGGTCTGAATCAGCCTAGCAAAGATGGTGCAATTAATATTTTTCTGCTAACAGCTTAGTTTGAAGATGTCTCTAGTATAATTTGCCAACTCTTTCTTTGTGCATCCTTTATTTCACGATAATACTGAGACAGCAGTGTCTTCCTACTTCCCAAATCCAGGCTGCACAAAACGTGTACTGTATTTTTGAAGACTGTTTTGGCAAATGATAGTTTTGACCAGAAGAGGGCATTTGCCAGCCAATGGAAATATTCTTCTGCCAATGTGCATCTTGCAGTTATTTCACTGCATTGCCTCTTAAGAGTGGTTACATCAGCAGGTTTTGCCATGAAGAAAAAATCCTACCCTTCTGGTTCTTCTGTGAAATCCCCAAGATGTCCTGACACCCTCCCCTCAAAGATGATGACTCTAATAGTATTTGTTGGAATCTATGTGATATATCAATATAAAAGGCTAAGAAAAAAAATTGATCTGTTCTGTCTGTACATTACACTGATTACCAGCATTTCATATTACTCACATCCCGGACATAAACTGTTTCAACTCCTTCCCTCAAAACAATGCTATAGAGCACTGCACACCAGAACAACTAGACACAAGGACAGTTTTTCCCCAAAAGCCATCACTATGCTAAACAAATAATTCCCTCAACACTGTCCAACTACTTACAAAGTCTGCACTACTATTACTATTCATCTTCTCATCACTCCTTAGCACCCATCCCCTCCCACTTGTGACTGTATGATTGTAACTTTGTCGCTTGTATCCTTATGATATATATTGACTGTTTCCTAGTATGATTTGATTGCTTATTGTACCCTATGACTATCATTAAGTGTTGTACCTTATGATTCTTGACTCTTGAATCTTTTCTTTTATGTATACTGAGAGTGTTTGCAACAAGACAAATTCCTTGCGTGTCCAATCCCACTTGACCAATAAAGAATTCTAATTCTAATTTTAATCTGCATGTGCTATTTACTGTCTTGTTTTCATGAATATCTCATTTTGTAAGCCCTCTACACACACACATCCTTTCTCTGCTACAGATATGTCTTGCTCAATGTTCTAATGTGTTACATTGGGGTTACAGATAGTTGCTCATTAAGAAAAGAAAGCAGTGAGAATGGTTTTCGACAACTATTTCAAAGCAGAATCTCAATTCCGAAGAAATAGCCCTATGTTAGTATCAGACTGTCCGTACCAAAGCTGCTTTTTCACAAGGCAACTCGACTTTCTTGTTTTTTCTTTTGAAGATGTTTTGCTTCTCATCCAAGAAGTGACTTCAGCTCTGACAGCATAGTGGGGAATGGAAGGATTTATATTCCTTGCAGAAAGCTGGTAATTTGCATCCTTTTAGAGTGTTGCTGAAGCACTTGGAGGGTCATTGAAGCTCTTTAGAACAAGGGTATCAAACTCGCCTGTGTCATGCTGTGTCATCACATGATGTATCGTGAGGTTTTTTTTCCCCCTTTGCTAAAATGGAGGTGGGCATGGCCAGCGCATGATGCATCCGGCCTTGAAGCAAGTTCCCTTCCAACTCTGATTATCTGTTATCTGTTAAGTTGAAACACCTCTAAAAGGATCCAAATTACCAGCTGCCTGCAAGGAATATAAATCCTTCCTTTCCTTTTCCTCTCCTATCAGAGCTGAAGAAGTTTCTTGGATGAGAAGCAAAACATCTTCAAAAGAAAAACCCAAGAAAGTCTAGTTGCCTTCTGAAAAAAAAGCACCTTTGGGATAAGCATGACCCGGATGACTGAGAATCTCTACAGACTATCAGACTGTCTGCCTGTCCACTGAAGTAGGGAATTGGCTTGTTGTCAGCGTTTAAAATACCTTGTTCTGAAGCCAAGCAAGCATCTTGTGGAAGAGTTCACAAGCAGAGGCTTGCTTCTTTTTAGGTTATGCAGTGCGCAAGTTAGATAATCTAGGGTTTGTTTATAAAAAGATCTATAGTGTCAGTAAAGATTGGATTTGAGCTGCAAAAATCCAGATCACTATGTGGCAACAAGCGTTACATAATACCCTTGCTTTTCGTTGCTATTTATTTGGTGGCTGTTCTTGAGTTGTGCAGCCACATCTTGTGGTTATTTTAATCCGGCCAGGTTACGACAGCCATGATGCTATTCGCATATCCAACGTCCTTTATGTGGCATTTTGTCATTCACTATCATGAGAAATCTCTGGGCGTTTCAGAGAATATTAGGACAGATTTTGGCATGTCCATATAACTCATGCATAACAGTAGCTATGAGTAGAGGATCTTACTTCCGCCTCACCAGAATACTGTAGTCTGTACAAGATTTGTTGTGGTGGAACACTACTTCGGGGCAGTATTGTTCTCATTTTCCTCACAAAGGAATTTTTAATGAGTTTTTTTTTAGGAACATCAGTCTTACTCCTAACATGATCACAAAGTTTTGCAAGAAAGCATCGCTATAATCCTTTTTTTAAAAAGTTATAAAAGGAGCAAGTGTCTTCAAATTACAGATAAGGGATTAAGATTTATACTGATTATTTTTCAGGAACAATGCACCATTTAATCTCCAAAGACTCCCTTCCTTCCTTTTACGATTTTTGAGGTCCATTAGCAGTCTATATTGTGTGCAAGCCAGCCTGCTGGCAAAGATTCAGAAGTGCATTTTGGGTTCTCTACTTCCTCGTTTCTGGAGTTAGGTATTTGCTGAAGTGCAGATCTTAGCATTTTCTGGAGGCACTTGATACTCACTCAAACCTGAGCATTTGGTAAAACTATTCCACCTATTTGTTCTCAGAATTATTAGAAAGGGAGAAGAGAGGGAGGGAGGAAGAGAGGAAGAGAGAGAGAGAGAGAGAGAAACTGAGGAGTAATGGTATTGCTTCTTACTGAATTTCAATTAAACTTCCCTATCTGATGTTTGTAGATATGGCCAGGAGAGTTGGAAATGATGGGAAATGCCTTAAAATGTATCTGGAGCATGCAGGACAGAGAAAGCTACAGTTAGGGGTGATTGTTTTCTCATGTTATTGAATTCATCACTGATATTTTATCCAGAGACTTCCTGCTTTGTTGTTTTAAGTCTTTTCAATCACTGAGCTAGACTTGAAAGAGTGCGTAGAACCGCTTTTGGTCCACAATGAGAATATTTTAAACAATTAAAACAGTTTGGAGTTGTTGTTTTTTAACTTATAAATTTACATATTATAGTTATCATTTGATAATCTCATAGTCACGCTGAAATCAGAAATTGTATCAAATCAATGGCGACCAGAAGAGAATGATTGAACAATATTATTGGGGAGGGGTTAGTCTTCTGCTGTGCTATGTGTGGAAAAGATGAGCAATATTGGGCAGGGAGCAGACGATAAAGGAAGCACTTTGAAAACAGAAGGCTTGAATGAGGAGATGGATGACGCATGTGTTCTTTCAGAATGAGGACTACATCATATCTACCTAGAAGGTAACTCTCCTAAATATTTTATTCTATGTCACACTTGAAACATTTGTCCAATACACACACACACACACACAAACACACTATCTATCTCAGATCTGGCCATTTTACAGCCTCTGAGCACATCCTTTGGCTGTTCCTGTCCAGCTTACATGAGGTCAGTTAGAAATTAGAAATCGAATGTAAATAAGCGTACATCATGCACGTAATAAAACTGCATTGCTTTTATTTTGAAGGCAACTGCTTTTTTTCTCTTCCAATTTACACATGTGTGTGCATGCATGCCTACCTATGCACCATTACAGCCCTAGGATTCGGCCCTCCATTATAGTCGCAGTTTCTCATGGGCCCCCTTGGGAAAATTAATTGCCCACCCCTGCCCTCCCTGAACATAGCCCTGCTTCAGAGAGAGAAAGATGGAGAAAGAAGAATATAATGAACAAGAAAGTGGTTTAGTATTAGCATGTGCCTCTCATAAAGAGAAGATCTGTTTAGTAAAAGCCCTTAGAGAGACACTTGGACTTGGGCTGCTGCCTTCAAGAAGGTTAATCAAACAACAAGGTAGGTCACCGATACCCTGAAGTCGCAGGTAGACATGCCAAGACTGCAAAATGAATTTGTTCAGCTGATGGAGAGGAGGCAGCAAGAGCCACACCCCAGCAGATGAAGTTTCAGCTTTCAAGTGATTTGTTTGCTTTGGACCTGGTGGCTGGAGGCACAGGCCGAGAGGAGACGTGTGTAGCCAATGGGCATGGCTGACTCATTTCTGTCAGGATTGTTTTCATGGCTTCATTTGTTTTGTTTTTCGGACCAACCCACGTTTTTTTATTTCATGAGGGTGGCAGAATGCAACCTATGCAGGCGGTAGAAAGATTAAAGTGATTGTGAGCTGAGATCCAGTCAGTGAAAGGTAAGCATCCTTGCCAGGTACTGTTTTTGTTACAATTCTGGAGATATATAGTCCCATCAGCCTCATGTTGGCTGATACAACTTGTGACCTGTCAGATTAGACCAGCGGTTGTATATGATAGCTCTCCAGGAAAATGAGAAGTTTGGGTGGGGAGGTTCTACTCAGTGGTGGGATTCAATTTTTTTTACTACCGGTTCTGTGGGCATGGCTTGGTGGGCGTGGCAGGGGAAGGATACTGTAAAATCTCCAGTCAGAGGCGGTATTTGCTGGTTCTCCAAACTACTCAAAATTTCCGCTACTGGTTTTCCAGAACTGGTCAGAACCTGCTGAATACAGCCTGTTTCTACTGCCTTACCCTGAGATGCCAAGGAATAAAACAGATTGTTACACACTTAACAAGTTACAATAATGTGGCTGATAGCTATGGTGTGCTCATTGACTGGCAACATTGCATGAAAAAAACGTTACCCATTAGTAGCCAATAAATATGCAGTTAGCGCAGGGGTGTCAAACTCGGCGCTATCACGGCAGTCTCACGTGACATACCGGGACTTGTTCCCCTTTCGCTAAACCGGGCATGGGCATGGCCAGCACGTGACACATCTGGCCCATGGGCTGTGAGTTTGACAGCCCTGAGTTAGAGGTATAAAAAGTGCCCTGCACGGACAGACAGATAGACCAATATGTCTATGCACAGATTCACATAAAAATATGTATGTAGAAATAACTCTTTCTCTTCACTTGCCTGCTATTATTAGTAACCCTGGCCTGATTGGCAACTTACTGTAATTAATAACTGTTCTACATGCAACAATCATTTCTCCATGTTGCTGTCTGATTTAGAGAGCTGCATTGCAGAATAGGTTTTATCTCTTGTTCTTCCAATTCAGGGGTCCCCAAATTTAGCAACTTTAAGACTTGTGGACTTCAACTGGCTGGAGAATTCTGGGAGTTGAAGTCTACAAGTCTTAAAGTTGCCAAGTTTGGAGACCTCTGCTCCAATTATTATCCTTTATGGTGTGCTAAACATCTGTTTCATTTGTGACTCTCACATTGGAGAACCAAAACCAACCTTTGATAACGAAGTAAATAAATAAGCAAATAATAATAAATAATTACATGGAGTCAAGCTCAATTTAAAGGTACCTTTTCTTGGTGCTTCATAGCTGAAAGTAATTGGTGAAACCTTAGAAAGCATAATATGCAATAGTACAGCAATGCATTCTTACAGACTTTGGAGTGTAGATACCTACAAAAAAGTATGTGCTGAATGAATGAATGGAACCATGTCAATGTATCCTGGAGCCAACAAACTACAGTATGTCTTTAAAGGGAGATAATAATCTCTTCTCCTTTTAATATCAGGAAATCTTGATTGCTGAGTTCTCTCTTTTTTAAAATCTGCAAATAAATCACCTAGGGCATTTTCAATTATGATGCATAAAAAAGGATTTAATAGGTTAGAATTTAGCCTGAAGCTCTGCTTTGAAGAGTACTTGACCTTTTCAAGTCCCGGTATGCTTGATGAAGGAAGGAAGGAAGGAAGGAAGGAAGGAAGGAAGGAAGGAAGGAAGGAAGGAAGGAAGGAAGGAAGGAAGGAATAGCAAGATATTATGGTATGTATTCTTACTGTACAGTATCGCACCCTGCCCCCGCCTCCCTTCCCGCAGGATCTGGTAGCAACCTTACATTCTTCTCAGTTTCCTGGTTTGTTTTTGTAACATTATATGTACCTCTATACACACAAGGCAGTAATCTGTCATATAATTTGTTTGATTTTGATATTATACAGTGTTGAGCAATTCAGTTCTTTCTAATACAGAGCTGCCTGAGGGTTGATTGGTACTGGCTGCATAAAAGAGATCTTCACAATAAAATTGTCAAAATCTAAGCACAGATTAATATTTCATCAATGACTTTTCAATTCTAAAAGGTTCTGGTTTCTTAGGGAGATCTTCCTCATGAATCTTTCCCAGAGCGTCCTCTGCCAAGATCTCACATTGAGTGACCTTCCTATTGATTATATGGTATATTTAGGAGATTCCAAGCAGTTAGGCTGTCTCAAATTTGTCTGCACTTCCACAGCATAGTTGGAAGATAACTGTAACTGTAGGACAAGAGCATGGATCTCAAAGCTTGGCACCTAACTCCCAGAATTCCTCAGCCAAGTCTGGCAAGAGTATGGAAAATTCAAGAGTCTGAAGACTTCATGCTTGTTCATTCTCTTTCTGCCTTGCAGATGTCATGGAATCCTCAGTACCGGAGTTCTAAATTCCGCCACGTATATGGCAAGGCGGCCAGTAAGGAGAACTGCTATGACAACGTGCCCATCACCCACAGTGTCTATGACAACCAGTTTTGTGCTGTCAATCCTCGTTTTATTGCCGTGGTGACCGAATGTGCAGGTGGCGGCGCCTTTCTTGTTATACCAATCAGTCAAGTAGGTATCTCTAAGCCTCTCCTTATATAACACGGCTTGCTGATGTGGGTGTGAGTGGGGTGGATAAAGACATAGGATGCCAAATGTTGATAAAGCCCAAATCAGTCACTCGTTTTCAGTGAGGGCTTTGTTTTTGCCCTGAATGGTCACTTGAAAAATTAGCAATGTTGCCTGCAATCATGATGCACAAGCAGTGTTAGTCCTTGACTTACAACCATGGTTTAGTGACCATCTGAAATTACAGCGGTACTGAGAAATATGACATGACTTTTTTTTCCACATGACCGTTGCAGTGTTGCCATGGTCACGGGATCAAAATTTAGATACTTAGCTTATATATATGATGGTTTCAGTGTCCCGGGGTCATATGACAATCACCTTTTGCAGCCTCCTGCCAAACCAGAGTCAATGTGGGGAAGCCACCTTCACTTTACAACCATGTTATTAACTTAATAACTGCAGTGATTCACTTAACTGTGGCATAAAAGGTCGCAAAAGGGGGCAGAACTCACTTAACCATCTTGCATAGCAACAGGAATTTTGGCCTCATTTGTGGTCATAAGTCAAGGACTACCTCTGTCCATTTCGTTTCACCACACAAGCTCCTCATACTTTGAATTGTTCCTTTGTCTGCACCTCTTAAACCCAACAGATCTTCAGGTTCTGTCCAATTTGATGGGAGGTTGTACTTCCTGAGAATGCTCAGGAAGATAAATCTATCTCAGCATCTACTTCTGTCTTACCACCGCAGCACCATTGAGGGTGTCCTGACATACAGCATTCTTGTATGGTATGGGAGCAGCTCTGTAGCGGACAAAAATGCTCTACAGAGAATCATTAAAACTGTCCAGAATAGCATCAGGCTCCAGCTACCAGCCCTGGACGACATCTTCGCATTCACTGTTTGAGGAAGCTGCACAACATTCTCAGAGACTCTTCTCATCTTGCTTACAATCTTTGTGAACTGTTGCCTTCTAGCAGAAGATACAGAACAATTAAAACTCGGACCACACATTTTCTGAACAGTTTTTATCCCAGAGCTATAATTGCACTTAACTATGAACTTAAGGACCACCATCACTAAGCTATTGGACAGTATTACTTGGTCGGTTGTGTGGATGCTTGTGTGCTTGTGAGCAGAGGTGGTATTCAGCAGGTTCTGATTAGTTCTGGAGAATCAGTAGCAGAAATTTTGAGTAGTTCGGAGAACTGGCAAATACCGCCTCTGACTGGCCCTGCCACCATCTATTCTCTGCCTCCCAAGTCCCAGCTAATCGGCTGGTTCTTCTTTTGTTGCCCTGCACAGGAGAACGGAGCTGGAAAGCAGGTTAGTGGGGTGGGGAGGGAATGGGATTTTGCAGTATTTTTCCTCTGCCACACCTACCAAGCCATGCCACGCCCTTCAATCCACACCCATAGAACCAGTAGTAAAAAAATTTGAATCCCACCACTCAGTGGTATGATTCAAATTTTTTTACTACCGGTTCTGTGGGCGTGGCTTGGTGAGTGTGGCAGGGGAAGGATACTGTAAAATCTCCAGTAAGAGGTGGGATTTGCTGGTTCTCCGAACTACTCAAAATTTACGCTACCAGTTCTCTAGAACTGGTCAGAACCTGCTGAATACCGCCTCTGCCACCACTTTTCAGGACCCCTGGTGATATTTCAGCCTGGATGTAAAACCTACAAAATGTGGGAAAATCTATGATTGGGGTGAATAAAGTGCTGTTCCTTTTATGGGTTACTTGTAATGTCGGTGCTATTAATCTCCTGAATTGTATGAAGTGTTGCAGTAGCTTAGTGTAATTTTGTTATAACAAATGCAACTTGATCTCCATTTACCTGAACCTATGGAGGCCAAAGAAGAGTAGGGGCAGGACTCCATAATCCCATACATACATGTTTGAAAGAAAGGATAGTTGGGCTCAGCTCAAGAGTGAGAAATCTTAATGGGCCCATTCTCAGGTTCCTTTAATGTTGGCGTGACCAACTGTTAATCCCTGATATATTTAATTCATACGTGCTCATGACACTGTTGTCTCAGGTTCAGCATACAGCAGTGGCAGCTTAAAAGCTGTCTTTCCAGTTGTCGTTCCAGTATTCATAATAGTTCGTTTAGTGACTGTTCAAGATTACAACAGCACTATGACCAGTTTTCTTACGACCATTTCTCACACTTAGAACCATTGCATCCCCATGGTCACATGATCAGAATTCAGATGCTTGTCAGCTGACTCATATTTATGACAGCTGCAGTATCCTGAAGTCATGTGATCACCTTTGGCGATCTTTCAACAAGCAAAGTCAATGGGGAAGACAGATTCACTTAACAACTCTGGCAACTCAACAACTCTTAGTAAGTTGTTACTAACTTAACAACTGCAGTGATTCACTTAGCAACTCTGGCAAAACAGGTTGTAAAGTGGGGCAAGACTGACTTAATAAATGTCTCACTTAGCAACAGAAATGTTGGGTCAGTTGTGGTCGTAAGTCGAGGATTACCTGTATTATTTTTTTTCTCATTTTAAGTTTAAGTTCCTCAGGTAAGGGATGAAATAAGAGAAAGGCAACATCATAAGGATGTAGCAGAACAAAACTGTCCCTGGGACATGTTTGTTCACCATTTAAGGAAACTTCACCTCACAGGTTTATTGTTGTGGAGAAAATAGGAAGAGGAAAGAGTATTACCTACGTTCGCTGCCTTGAATAACTTATAAAGTGACAAAGGTGGGGTAAAAATCTAATATATATAAATAAATAAATGCGAAACAACCTGTATGTATTTTGCATATATAACTCATAAAGGAATCATAATGGACTTTGTGCTAGATGGCAGCCTTGCATTATTAAATTGATTTGTTTTACAGCGTACTGGTATTTCTCTCACAGCCTCCTCTTGGGGAATGACTGCTTTAAAAACTGTTAACTATAAGGAAGCTAGCTGTAAGATATCCAGATGCTGCTTTTGGCTCCTGCCCCCCTCCCCCCATGCCCCTTCCTTTAATCTACCCTGTTACATCTGTATACTGCCACAGTTTGATAAAAGTCTTGCGCCCTGCTCCCTGTGTGTTATGTTCATACTGAAGCTGGTTTTTTGTTTTTGTTTTGCTTATTTCCTTACTTTACATATGCTCCACTTTTCTGCTTTGGCAAGCATTTAAGGTGGTGGAACAAAAATAATGAAAACAAAACATAGTTTTAAACGAAAAATAAAATTATCAGCACTGGAAGTCATTTTAAGCATCATTTTTAATTAGCTATATTAAACATTTTATAACACTAAAATTACCCGATAAACACCTGGGAACCCAGATGCATCTTTGCAGATTTCCTAAGCATTGCAACAGTGGGGTCCAAATGTATATCCAAAAGGGTATATTTCATGACTTGGGTACAAGACAAGACGGTCTCCCATGTGCTATAAATAGAACAGGGGAGGCCTTAGACTTAGATCTGGAGTTGGACTAGCTATGTATCCCCTTATTCAGTGTCGTCGTATCACTGAATGGTTGTTAAGGTGAACTGAGAGCTATCTGTACAAGCACATGCATGATAGGTAATGTTAAGATGAATTATGTATTAAAGAATAAAGCATTTGGTATTTTAAAAAAGGGGAGATAAATTAAAACTCAGCCTGCTTTTGAGTCCAAGCAATTGAGACCACAAACATGCATGCTACGGAAAATTCAGCTTTATTAGCATTATTATTATATGCACAACAATGAGAAATCACAGCTGCTGGTTCTTCAGCTGGTGTTTGCCTTCATTGGCATCAAGTTCTTCCCAAGGATGTCATCATGTATCAGTTTGTATACGTATGGATCCAAGGAATATGGCCTTTTTATAATTCATAGATGGAAATTTCAATAATAATAATAATAGTAGTAGTAGTAGTAATAATAACAACAACAACAACCTGACATAACAATAGTTCAAAAGAAAAAGGTTTGGTTCATTGACATTTCAATACCTGGTGAAGCAGCAAGAAAAAAATCACACAGTACTGGGACTTACAAATTGAAGTTGAGCAACTTGGGAAAAAGAAATCATGTGTTATCCCAATTGTAATTGGAGGCCTTGGAGCAATACCTGAAGGGCTACCTCGCTATTTGGAAATTCTGAACTTATCAGACTTGAATACCCTGATTCTACAAAAAAACACACTCCTTGGAACAGATTATATCCTCCAACGCTAACTTAAGAGTTCCTAGGTCCTTGGTTAGGACTCGAGCTGTTGAGCTACCAACCAGCCCCAAAGGCTGTGAATCTCACCAAAGATTAACAACAACAACAACAACAACAACAACAACAACAACAACAATAATAATATACAAAGACATAGAAATAGAACGACTGTGGCAAAGGCAAGCAAGGGTAGTACCAATAGTAATAGGCGCCTTGGGTGCAATTCCAAAAACAACTGGAGCAACTCTTGAACGCCATCGGCATTGACAAATTCACCATCAGTCAATTGCAGAAGGCGGCTTTACTTGGAACAGCTTCCATTCTTCAATGATACTTGTAACACCATCAAACATCCAGATTTGTCTATCCCAGGTCTGTGGTAAGGACTTGATAGGTAGACAAAAATGCTAAACCCACTCTGAACATCTGGCTGACTGCGCGATGATCATCAATAATAAATATGATAAATAAGCCTTTTAAGAGAACTCATTGTAGAATTAAACTTTTCCATTTGTTTTTAGACAGGAAAACTTGACCCTCATTATCCTCGCATCTGTGGGCACAAAGGAAATGTATTAGACATCAAATGGAACCCCTTTGATGACTTTGTAATAGCATCGTGTTCGGAAGATACCACAGTAAGTCAGAGTTACGAATCTTTGCCTGAGTCAGGCAGAATACCACTTAATTTCTTCACGAACACAATCAGGAGAACAATCTCTCAGGTGTCCTTTTCTTGTTTGTTATTACGATTAGTTATGTCTTTACAGCTAGATAGCACAGTCCACATCAGGGGTCCCCAAACTTGGCAACTTTAAGACCTGTGGACTTCAACTCCCCGAATTCTCCAGCCAGCATGTGCTGGCTGGAGAATTCGGAGAGTTGAAGTCCACAAGTCTTAAAGTTGCCAAGTTTGGGGACCTCTGGTTTACATCATGCCCATGGATTTTTAACCACGGTTGTAAACCGTAGAGAACAAATGATCACTTAGCAGCATACCATGGACTCTATAAAAGTTTGGGTAAGATGACCAGTGAGTTTTGTAACATTGCCATGCAAGCTCGGCCCCTGCACATGGGTGCGTGATGATGTCATGATGCATGTTCAAAAGGGACAAAACTTACATTGCAATTCAACATTTGCCTCCCCCTCCCTCAGATGCCCTATTATCTCTTTTAACTGTGAAAATGAATTGATGCAGAATCCATGTGCCAGATTCTGACATCTTAATGCTGCATATGGTTAGCAGACTGAACAATGTTATATCTGCATTGCTTCTAACGTTATCCTTTTTCTAAGACCTTCTAAAAGATCGCTGTAAATTCCCCAAATAACATTCTAGTTTTGGATTTAGAAGTTTGGAAATCAGATTCACAGGTGCCCTTGAGCAAGATTGCTTGTCTTTGTGTACTCTGTTTCAGGGATGGTATTCTACCGAACCGGATGTTAAAGTTACATCTGGTTCGCTGAACCGGTATTTCCACTAACCAAGTGTTTTATAGGATGTAAGCAAAATTTCCATGTGTTTTTCATAGTCACGTGCCTTGCTGTTCTCAAAGTGAAGATAAATTTATACACTTCCATGTGGTACCATTTTCAATGTTCTACCATACTTTGTTGAGAAGTTACGAGGCCTCTGATCATTAGACACCCTTGTAGGCAAATATACTAGCCTGTGTATAAATCTTTACCCCCTGTTTTCTATTCATCTAATCAAAATGAACACATTTTAGCTCGAAGGTCGATAATTTCCCAAAATTTGTAGACCAGCGCTATTGCTCTTGAATGTTGCTGCATTGAATGAGATAATCTGGGTTAATGGAGCCTTCTTGAATTGTGCTGCATCTTCTGTCTCATAGATTAAGGTCTGGAATATCCCTCAGCATTTGCTAACCAAAAGCATCACAGATGCCCAGAAGGATCTTCTTGGCCATTCCAGAAGAGTGGGGCTTATTGAATGGCACCCAACTGCAAGTAACATCCTCTTCAGCAGTGGTTATGATTACAAAGTGAGTTGAGATCTTAGGAGCATTCATTTCAACCCTGAAATACTACTAGGCTTCTTCATGAGAAGAAGGAAACTTGGGTGATGGAGGAGAAGGAGCCTCTATGCCACAGTGGAAGAACTCCATTCCAGTCTTCAGTGATGATAAAGTATAAATTGGCCAGGCAAAATGAATCCAGTCACTTTACATCTTGAATACTAAGTGCTTTTGGAGTCAGACAGCACCAGAATAGAATTAAATAATTAATACATAGTTACCTTACAACATCTGTAAACTAATTATATGAACTAAAAAGTACAAGAGAAAAAGCAATTCCTTTGATCATTTTTTTTTCTTTTGAAATCACAGCGTTTGTGATCTATCATAGAAATTGGTCTGTGACCGTTATAAAGTTTTGATTTGATTTGGACGTTGTGCAAATTACCTACACTACAGAATTACATTTTTGCTCCAATTATTTTAAGCACCCCCTTTCTCTTCCTTTTCCACTCAGCCAAAGTGTCAGAACTTGGGCTTCTACTAGAGATCCATAGAGTGATTTGGGGCTGCATTGAATGAGATAGTATTTGTTGGTGCATCACATTTGGAACACAGTTGTTGCATGGTTCTTTCAAAGTCTGCTTGCTCAGTGCGTGGGTGGAAAGTTCAGAAAACATTCTCTGATACTTGTACTTTTGTCACAGGTCATGGTCTGGAACATTGATACCAAAGAACATACAATTCAGACACCAGTAAGGACAATCGGCTTCCATACAGATGTCATCCTCTCCATGTCATTCAACACAGATGGCAGCCTCTTAGCCACAGTTTGCAGGGACAGGAAAATAAGGATCATTGACCCACGAGCAGGAACCATCTTTCAGGTATGTTGGTGGGGGGAGAACGATTGGCATGAACAGTAAGGCTGATTCTAACTGTTCTGACCAAGACTTCCAAGACCGTAATTACAAACACGCTTAGTTACAACAACTCTTGTTTTATTTCAATGCTGGGAATTATGTTCATTCCTAGCCTGTAAAGAGTCCCAAACAGTCCCTCGAGATAAGCACCCACCTTTCTCTCCTTTGAATTTCTGCCAACAACTAAAGTGCCAAAATGAACTAGAAAAAATCAACTGAAGTACAAGGTCCACACAGAGCTTCAAGGATTAATCCGAACAGAGTGAACGACTTTGCTTCCTGCAAAGGTTTCTCTACCTTTGCATCTCCTTTATACCTTATGGGAGGGGCAGTCACCTCCCAGCCTTACTCCTGAGTTGCCCCTTTTGTCTCAGCTGCTCTTTCCTTCTAGCAGCTCTGCACATGTGTATACTAGGAACAGGCTCCCCTTGTTCCTCTGTCTCGCTGCTGCCAGACTCCGGAGGCTGCAGAGTCAGCACCCCACTCTGAGGAGATGGTTCTGACCTCATCTCTGCATTGAATGCAGGATCCTCCTCGGAGTCCTCTCCAGTCTCCTGAACTGGTCCCTATTCTTCCCCACTGTCCAATTCCGCTGCCATCTGCACAGGCTGCTGGCAAACCACAACACTGACTAGGAAAGAGGCTGCTGATTGTAGTTGGGATCTATGGGATGGTTTTAGGCAGAAGGTGAATTGCCTCTTTCTTCAAAGCAGCATTGGTAGAGGCAAGCTATCTGGTTACAAGGACTGGCTCTGAACCTGGACCAGATTTACAATATTTAAAGAAATGCAGTCAGACAAACCCAAATGTACAGCCTTGTCGTGTTCTAGAGATGGGAAAGACTTCTAAAAAAAAAATCACTTCCCGAGAGTCCAGTATTTGAGATCAAATTCTTCCCTTGACTTATTTCAAACTGTTGAAAGGCTGGAAAATGCCTTTCTTCTGAGGACTCGATTTTCCTGCTGGGAGAACTCCGGTGCAAGGACACAGACAACTGCTTGGAAGCTGGTTCTTTTTATTTTTCAGGAAGGCAAGAGATAGCAAGAAGTCTGCGTTCCTGGGGCTAGCCATCTTTGTATAATAAACCCCTGATTTTTATACCTTTTCTCCTTTTGTGTGTGTGTGCTTGTGTTTGTATTTCTTAATGTTTTAAATCCTGTCAGGGGTTGTCTTCATTTCCACCAGAGGGTAAACTCCGCGGGGTGGTTTGATTGGATTATCAGTTTCATCCTAATGTTTTCTTATATTTGTTTTGTGGCAATCTCCTGTCTGCTATGGAATTTATTTCGTGTCTTTTGTCTATTTGTTTTGCTGATTTTGTTGTTTGTAAGGGATTTCTTTTTCTTGTTTCCCTAGCTTTCTTAATTACTTGGCTTTTGTCTAGGGGGCTTCTTTCAATACCTTTTATTAAATCTCTTTTCCTATGCAAGTTTGTTTTATGGCTGGCCTGATGTTCCCTTTGGGCTTTTCCTGCTTGGGTGACACCACTGTCCTAACCCTAACCCTTTCCACAAAACTATATTAGAGAAAAGCGCATGGAGTCCTCTAGCCTCATCTTAAATTCAAAAAATCTTTGCACGTGACCCACTTGTTATTCATTGGTATGGTTACTATTCTCCATTGCTAAGAAACAATAGTTATGCAGGTTAACAAGTCTTTCTATGTCCAATTTTGTTCTCCACTCACATAAATCTGTACCACCCAAGAAAAAGCTCATCTGCCGGTCTTCTTATAAATGCTTCCCAAATGTTGCTAGATCTTCAGACCACAAAATATAATGGTAGTTTAACATTAATTTACTACATTTATATGCCACCTATCTCACCAATAACATAACTCTTCTCAGAGGCAACTGGACTTCCTTGTTTGTTTGTTTTTCTTTTGAAGATGCTTTGCTTCTTGTCCAAGAAGCTTCTCCAGCTCTGACAGAATAGTGGGGAATGGAAGGATTTATATTCCTTGCAGACAGCTGGTTATTTACATTCTTTTAGAGGGTCGTTGAAACACTTCAAAAGAAAAAAGAAAGCCTCCTGAAAAAGCACCTTTGGGACAAAATGCACATAATGTTAAAAGTTTACTATTTGCGGGGTGCCACATTGCTAGCTATCCAGGGCTGCATCAGCCCTTGGGCCACAGGTTGGAAATATCTACTTTTAATTAGCCTACTTTTTAATTGATCTGCTAGTATTTCTTAAAATATATTGCTGTGTCAACTAAATGTAACTATGCAAGGGAGATATAACTCGGGTGATTGTGGAGAGATTTCAGAAGACTGAAGAATTAACGAAGGTAGGCAGATTTCCATGAAAAGAGAAATATTTGAGGTATTCGATTTCCTATAATTTAACATGTTATGTCGTCTTACAGGAAGCAAGCAGCAAATCTCACCGAGTGAATAAAGTTGTGTTTCTAGGAAACCTGAAAAGGCTGCTCACCACAGGGACATCCAGGTGGAATAATAGGCAGATTGCCTTGTGGGATCAGGTGAGTTTCATGGTAAACCACCATAAGATCCCTTCACAGATGTAGAGAATAAGAAAGATGATCTCGATGGAGGTGTACAAGCTTCATTGCCAAGATGGCAAGGAGTAAAATGTGTTTTAATTCCAGAATGTCCAGAGGCAGCCCAGACAGTCATGTTCCTAACCCATTAAGGCAAGGGTCTTCAAACTTGGCAAGTTTAAGATTTGTGGACTTCAACGCCCAGAATTCCTGAGCTAACATGACTGGAGGAAGAATTCTGGGAGTTGAAGTCCACAAGTCTTAAAGCTGTCAACCCTGCACTAAAGTATAAGGCACAGGATTCAAACTCAATTGCATCACAGGCCGGATCATGATTTTTTGCCTTTGTGGAGCCGAGGTGGGCATGGCCTCCATATCTGGCCTGCGGGCCACCAGTTTAACAGGCCTGCTATAAGGGAAAGAGGTACAACTCAGTTATACTTGCAAGATCCTATTATAACAGCCAATCAAAAGTAGTTTTAGTCTACTTGGGAAACTGATTTCTTGGTCTGGAGCTGGCACTGACAACCAAAGACTATTTCAGGCATTCTTTTAGCTGTTCGGATGTGACGGTGTCAACCTCATCTACACTCTGAACAAGTGTAACTCTGGGACGAATATATCACTCTCTTTAGATGTATTTCTTATGAAGGCTTCTCTCAGCCTGCTTTTATATCAGAGGAAATTTATGCTGAACCATGGTGGCGCAGTGGTTAGAATGCAGTATTGCAGGCTACTTCTGCTGACTGCTGGCTGCCTGCAATTTGGCAATTCGAATCTCACCAGGCTCAAGGTTAACTCAGCCTTCCATCCTTCTGAGGTCAATAAAATGAGGGTCCAGATTGTTGGGGGCCATATGCTGACTCTGCAAACCGCTTGGAGAGGGCTGTAAAGCACTGTGAAGCGATCTATAAGTCTCAGCGCTATTGCTGTTGCTTATGAACAAGCATTCAAAGATAAAACTGTATCCCAGTGTCCAAAGTGGTTCAGGCTAGGAAAAGCTTGACCATTTGGTTGGGCTGATTGCCTCGTCAACCCATTTTTATTATGGTCACGGGCCAGCATCACAAATAAAAGCATTAAAAAAAATAATTTAAAAAATAATAATGAAAAAGAAACAAAATAATATCTTATAATTAATGGTGGATTATCAGTGGGTAGTTAGAGTCTGCCTAATTTTGCATACGATATAACAAAAATTTGACCAGGTTCAAAGAAACTACAGATAATCCTCAACTTACGGCCACATTTGAGCCCAAATTCTCTGTGGTGAAGTGAGACATTTGTTCAGTGAGTTTTGCCCCATTTTACAACATTTCTTGCCACCATTGTTAAGTGAATCACTTGCAGTTGATAAGTTGGTAACCTGGTTGTTAAGTGAATCTGGATTTCCCATTGATTTTGCTGGTCAGAAGGCCACAAAAACTGATCACGTGACCCTGGGACACTGCAGCTAAATAAATATGAACCAGCTGCCAAGCATCTGAATTCTGGTCACATGAGCATTTTGCCCTGCAAAAGTCATAACTCTGAAAAACAGTCATTTTTTTCAGTGCCGTTGTAACTTTGAACCAGTGGTGGGATTCAAAAAAAGTTACTACCAGTTCTGTGGGCATGGCTTGGTGGGCGTGGCTTGGTGGTCGTGGCAGGGGAAGGATGCCGTAAAATCTCCATTCTCTTCCCACCCCACTAACCTGCTTTCCAGCTCCATTCTCCTGTGCAAGGCAACAAAAGAAGACCCAGCCAATCAGCTGGAATTCGGGAGGCAGAGAATAGATGGGAGCGGGGCCGAAGATCTTAAAGACTAGCTAGAAAGCAAGAAATCCAACCATTTCTTGCTTCCTAACTAATCTAAATCTCCCGGCACAGCAGAACAGCAGATGGTCGGAAAAATGGCAATTTAGCAGGCAAGTTTGCCGGGTAAGGAGTGAGTGGGCAGTGAGGGTTTCCGCGGGCCATGTGGGTGGCGTAGCCTTGTGTTTCTGCGCAGCCTGGATTAATTGCTTTGGGGGAGTGCTCTGGGGGTGAGATTTCTCTGTGGCCCCCCAAAATTTTCTCGCGGCCCACCAGTTGGTGACCGCAACCTTAAACTGTAGAGACATGAAGGAAAGTGAAGGTTCTGCTCAACATATAACCATAGGGTTAAAGGCCCGTTCACTGGTAGGGGCACATCTTTTACAGTGCCAGGAGGAAGCCAAAAGCCCGCAGAATGCCTTAAGATTTCACCTTTACACATTCCTGTCATATTTATGTCCTAACGTTGCAGTTGCCTTTGCGCTGCCTGGCATGATATTGGTGCTTCAGTTGTATTTTTTTTTCCCAAGTTCATATAGGCTGAGTTTGTGATGGGAAAGTCGGCCTTGCATTATTTCTGGCAGTGAGGACTGCTTTGAATTCTTCCAACCTTCCTACCCGCCCCACTCCAAACAGGACTTCAGCACAGGAAACCTACAGCGCCATTTCTTGGATCTGTATGTAAAAGCTGATTGATTAGTTTGTTTGGAGTTCCTACCTGCAGCCTGAGGGTTTGTTTGTTTTTTTAGCATGAATTCCAACGTATCACTGCAGTGAGAATAGGGTCTATTTGACATTATTTGGATGGGTGAGAGGATATGCTCATTATTTGTGTTCTCTGATTTTTTTGGATACACTGAAAACCTTATAGCAGTAATTTCTGTTTCCATCACCCGTATATACAGGATGATCTTTCTGTGCCTTTACATGAGGAAGATGTGGATGGGTCATCAGGCCTCCTGTTTCCTTTCTATGATACAGACACCCATATGTTGTATGTGTTAAGCAAGGTGAGTTCTTAAGCGGGGGTGGAAATAATTGACTGTGACAATAAGTTGCATAGTTGCAAAGCGATACAATTGGTGCTGTGATTAGTACAGTAATTTTTACAGCGCAGTATTTCTCAACTCTGGCAATTTTAAACAGTGTGGACTTCAACTCCCAGAATTCCCACTGATATATTGCCTGCCAGCTCCCTTCCAACAAAAAATCTTGTTTTCTAAGTCCACTTGGCTGAAGACAGGAGACGCTACTCAGATGTTGTGCTCCTTGTCCAATATTGCAATTTTTCTGGTTCCCCACACCCCCCACCCTTTTTACTGGCAGAATTTAGGATGTTGATATGCTTTGCTGTGTTAGTTTCAGATCCAAGCTATATAGGAAACTTATAATGACGGTAGTCTCCAAGTCTGATTGCACTCCTTATAACTCTCAAGGAAAGTTGGGGATTGCTATATGGTTTTTGCTGATGTAGAATATGGCCTTGGCATATGCCCTATTTCTCACCTAATCTAGATAGGCTTGTTAGGTGAGTAGGCAGAGAGTCATTGGGATGTAAATGTTCCAACTCTGAAATCCTTTACCTACTGGGTCATATAAGTGTGGCCTCCCTGGCGAATCTGTGAGGTGGTTAAGATTTAAGATCAGAATAACAGAGTTGGAAGGGACCTTGGAGTTCTTCTAGTCTCTGGTCTCATCCTGGACATTCATATTTTGAACTGTTACCATCAGGGAGGCGTTATAAGGTGTCTTAAAAATGAGGAGTAATAGATTGACAAACAGTTTCTTTTCCAAGGCAATAATTGTCTTGAATCAAACAGTGCATTTGTGATTTAGCCCTATGCATATAGTGGCATTTTTAAACTTATCTAACCTACTATATGTTTTAGATAGGTTTTAGACTAGGTTTTTAATTATTATTTAATTATTTTAATTTTGAAATACTCTGTAGTGTGATTGTGATGTGGTGTTTGGGACACTAGGCTGGAGTAGCTTTCAAATTTCATTGTATTTGTAGAATGCAATGACAATAAAGGTATTCTATTCTATTCTATTCTATTCTATTCTCTTCTATTCTATTAGTCAAGCAGGAAACCTATACCATTCCAGACAAGTGGCTGTCCAGTCTCTTCTTAAAAACCTCCAGTGATGGAACTTCTGAAGGCAAGCTGTTCCACTGGTTAATTGTTCTCACTGTTAGGAAATTTCTCCTTAATTTTAGATTGCTTTTCTCCTGGTTTCGTTTCCATCCATTATTTCTTGCCTTGCCTAACAAGCTCATCCAGATTAGGTAGAAATGAAACCTCCCTGGAGGGCATATAAGGGAATCCATCTCCTTGCTCCTACTGAAGAAGCTACTTGGATAAGTAGCGAAACATTTAAAGCTGCAAGAAAAGAAGTCCAATTGCCAGGACTCCATTTCCAGACCAGGAGCCATGTGTTATTCTAAACTGCCAAAAATAATTTAATCAAGTTCACCTCTGAGTATAATACTGGATTTTCCAGATCCACGTTCAAGCTGCTCCCCTGGAAAGAGGAAGTGGGTATACATTGAATTTCTAACTCTTACAATTATCTTTAGGGAGATGGGAACATCAAGTACTATGAGGTAAATGTGGAGAAACCATACCTACATTACCTGATGGAGTATCGTTCCCCTTTCCCTCAGAAAGGAATTGGTAAGTTTGCAGCAGCTTCACTGCAGTTTGTATGTTGGGGAACCAGAACAGGGTGCCTGTGAACAACTGATGCATTGAGGGAGGGGGCAGCTGGCCATAGGCAGATAATAAGCATCCAGCCTATTTTCCCTTGCTTCACTTTTGTCGTGGGCTGCACAGCATTGGCTCATGACATTTGTTTTTCTGTGCCTTTATCTCTCAGAATATTGATTAAACCAGCCTTCCCCAACCTGGTGTTCTCCCATATGTTGAATTACGGTTCAGATTATCCTCACCATTGACCTTGACTGTGTTGGCAGGAGGTGATGGAAATTGTAGACGAGCACATCTGGAGGGACCAGATAGTGGAAGGTTGAATGAAAACCTTTGCCAAGAGAATTTTGACAATTGTTTTTTCACTGGGCTTCCAACTCTTCTAAGGAGTTTTCATCTGGTCTATTTGAAAGCACAAGAGCAAGAAACTCTTAGAAGACTAATGGTGGATATCTGCCAGTCCACGGATAGAAGGAGAGTGGATAGTCCCAAGCCTATGACTATAGAAGTTATTACAATTATGGGTGCATCAATTTTCCACAAGCTCTGCCTTCTTAGACAATGAGACTGAAAGAGGAATGAATTGAAGTGGCTGGAATGTAAGAGACAGGGAGGTTTTTAAGTTGTTACCTAGCAACTCTAGACAAGATCAGAAAAGGAAGAATCATTTTACGGTAGTTACATTTCTTAAAAAATTAAATTACAAATGGAAGTAATTTGTTCTCTTTAAGAAAATTGGCTAGGCCCGGGGGTGTAGTGCTGGTCAAGGGAAAGATTTCAGCTTTCTCTGTTTCCTTCCTCCATGACTGTATCCTGTTCTGCAGAGGAGAAGAGCAGCAATTGGATTTCCCAATCCCATGTTTTGGCAGAATGTCATATGAGCTAGTCATAACTTTTTTTTTTTTTTTTTGCTGTCAGGTGTGATGCCCAAGAGGGGCCTCGATGTCTGTGCCTGCGAGATTTTCCGGTTTTATAAACTGATTCCGGCCAAAAGCCTGATTGAACCCATTTCTATGATTGTACCCCGACGGGTAAGTGGATATCTCTTCTTTGGCAATATACCAGTAGTGGTATACAACTGGTTCGCACTGGTTTGGGCAAACCGGTAGCAAGGATTTGGAGTGAGTTGCCAATCGGTAGTAACTTCTAGCTGGCCATGCCCCTGACCTGGTCGCCCCTCCCCTCCCTGCCCAGTAAGTCCTTATCACACATGAGCAACATTGCGTGCATGCCCGACATCACTGACTGCGTTCTTCCCTGCCCAGTCACTCCTTAAGTTTTTTTTTTCCCCTCCCGACGATCAGCTGTTTCAATGATCAGCTGCGCCGGGATTCCCCTCGCTGTCTTACTGCTTCACCCAGGAGGCTTCCCTGAGGCCCAGGAAGGCACAAAATGGAGCCTGGAGGGGGTGCTGTACGTTCCCTCCAGGCTCCATTTTGTGCCTTCCTGAACCCCAGGGAAGCTTTCTGGGAGCAAACCCCGCCCCCCAGGAGGCTTCTCAGAGGCGCAGACGGCCCCCCCCAAAAGCGCGGGTGTGTGTGCTGTGAGACCCCCCCTTTGCTCAGGTTTTTTCCTTTCTGAGCCCCACGGAAACCTTCTGGGAGCAAACCCCGCCCCCCCAGGAGGCTTGCCTGAGGCCCAGAAGGCCCCCAAAATGGGGGGAGGGCTGCTGAAAAAAGCCACACCCACCCAGTCACGTGGCCATGCCCACCTAGCCACGCCCATCTAGTCATGCCCACAGAACCATTAGTAAAAAAATTTGAATCCCACCACTGCAACATACTATGAAGGGCCTTCATTTTGAGCATACTATAGTTCCCCAAATACGGAAATGGTACTCTACTCTCAGTTACAACACTGGAAGTTTTTAAAAAGATGTTGGATAACCATTTGTCTGAAGTGGTGTAGGGTTTCCTGCCTAAGTAGGGGTTGGACTAGATACAGGGGTCCCCGGACTGGTACCGGTCCGTGGATCATTTTTTACCGGGCCGCAAAGCTTGGACGCCGCCATCTTGTTTTGACGGCACTTCCGGGTTTTCGGTTGGAAAGTGCTTCCGGGTTTTCAGTTGGAAAGCAGCTTTTGGGTGCTCGCGCCTTAGTTTCGTCGAAGGGGGGGGCGGCTTCAAACAAAGAGCTGTCCCGATGGCGGTGGAGTCTCGCGTTACTCAGGTACCGGTCTGTGGAAGAATAAATAATCGTGAAACCGGTCCCTGGTTCAAAAAAGGTTGGGGATTACTTGCTAGAAGACCTCCAAAGTCCCTTCTAACTCTATTATTCTATTCTATTCTATTCTATTCTATTCTATTCTATTCTATTCTATTCTATTCATGTTTTCCTTTGCAGTCTGAATCATACCAAGAGGACATCTATCCAATGACAGCTGGAGTCCAGCCATCATTGACAGCACAAGAGTGGCTGAATGGCACTAATAAAGGTTTGTGATACAATTGTTTGAACTGTCCGAAACAAAAGATTTTGTTCATTCATCTATCTGCATCACATTACATTAAAGGCAGATCTATCGTAAGACTGGGAGCCCACAGGTATACACAATAGCAATATTATAATCTGGATCGCAGTGTTTAGAATTCTCATAATAAACTGACAGTGTTCCTCAGCAATTAAAGCAAGAACGTAGAAGCTGTTTCTCTATATCTCTATTCTGAGGTATCACTCCTAATGTTTTACGGTAGTCGTTTGCTGGAGAGGTGTGCATGTGAAGGATCCACACCATTTACTCAGCCATAAGACTGAAATTGTAAATGCCACGGGCCCCAAAACGATCATGCATAAAGGTCAACCGTGAGAAGCATCCAAAATTTTCACCGCTTGTTTTTCACTCTTGGGAATTGTATGTCAATTGTCAGCTAATTTGGGGTATGGTGGAAAGAGTACAGTGCTTTGACCCATGATCTCAAGTAACTAGTTTAAATCTAAGTTGTTTTGAACATAAAATGAGTGCCAAATATCTTGGAAGAACTACATTCAATACTCGTGTAATAGGTATGGAGTAGAATTCTTCCTTCAGGTCTTTTGACAATGGCTCAACTCCTCTTCTTGTGTTAGTGCAGCATTTGCTTTCCTGGTATTGTTATATAGTAGAAAGGTATCAACTCCCGTCGATTTGATTGTGGGTGAGGCCTACTGCTGTATTTCACCTGGCCTTGCTCTACCAAAATCAAGGTAATGCAATATGCCAAAATTTAAATTAATTGGTGTGAATCGAGGGAATCAACTTGCTCTGAATCAAAATTGTAATGCTTTGGTGTTGCGTACATTGCCCTAGCACACTAATCAAAATGCCCTTCTTGGAATGAATGAAATTTCCCTTTTTCTTCTTCTTGCGTTTAGTGGCTTGGTTCTTTCAGTACTAGTTGCTATTGCTCCTCTTTGCTTTGGACAAAATTCTTCTTTTCTGTGGCCTACAGGTCCTGTCTTGATGTCTTTGAGACCAGGTTCTGTCATCTTGAATTCTTTACCACCATTTCTTGAGAAGGAGATTGCCATGGAAGCAACCAAGCCTGTCCCATGCCGGGACAGAGTGACTGTTATCACCGAAAAGTTGAATGAAATCCAAGAGAAATGGGGGACCAGGAAGACCGAGGAAAGACAACAGCCAAACAGACTAATGAAGTTATCTAATGGCGTTGATACCTACGAATGTCCTCCACCTAAAACAGAAAATGAGGTACAGTAGTGTGACCGAGAAAAAGTTATGCGAGTAAATGGGATAAAATAGCTTCTTTCTCAGGAAGTACAAGCAAGATAGGAAACAAGGGCATGCCTCACTGGATTTAATAGTGACACAGAATTATTTCTTAGAAGCATATCTCTTTGTGCTCAATTCACCTATTCTGTTTTTGCTATGACCTCTAACTTGAATAGGGGACAGGATAAAACACATTTCTGCTCTGTTCTTCCTCTCAAATTCAACTATCTGATTACCTAATTCAAATAACTCCATATTGGTGACAGGAAGGGCATCTGACTATTAAAACACTCTGCTAGTTCCATTCAATTGTCCAGACTCCACCTCACAAGGGATTATGGGGTCGTTAAATGACAATATTTCTGTCTAAATTTCCATCGTAGTCATTTTCTCTTCCTTGACTCTGTAGTTTCAGGTAGACCTCAGATGATTTTATGTATGATTGCACAAATGATATATGAAGTCTTTACTTTCCAGCTGCTGCAGATGTTTTATCGACAACAAGAAGAAATTCGGCGGCTCCGTGAAGTGCTGATTCAGCGGGATATTCAGATCAAACAGTTACAGCTTGAGATCAAAAACCGTCATGTGGATTCTCGCCGATTTTGACAGGCTAACATTTGGAGTCTCAGAACCGATGTTGCCAGGAATCACCATATTTTGGAGATTATAAATTAGAAGGAGAATTTCAGATTTATTGGCAAGCTATTGCCTACCTTGAGTGCCCATATCCTGCAAGCTGGAAGTTACTGGAAGTTACTGGATGAGTTTTGTGGTGCTCTATTTATCGGACTCGTTCTTTGCAGGAAAGTCCATGTTTCAAAGTAGTCCCCTAATAACTCAGTTGGAGATGCTTCAAAGAGGAAGCCAGACCTGCCTGGGTACGAACATCTTTTCAGTCCCCAGTAGGCAACTGAACTTGGAAATACAGTTGCTTGGACTTTCAGCCTGTTTAGCATTCAACTGTTTCACATGGTGATGAACCAAATAGTTCAACCAAATTGTTCAGGATTCTTTTTGTTCTGCATTCTTGGATGGATCAGAATGATGTTGCACTGAATTAGTTTTGTTTCCTATAGCCAAGGAGAGTTTATGTGGGAATCGAAACCATCACCTTCTCTTAGTCTTATGAGTCATCTTCTTCTAAAATTATATTTATGCCTAAGAGGGTAAGGACCAAAGAAATGGGTGTCATTAATTTAAACAGGAAGTCAGAAATAGATGCTGCTGAGAGCCAAGTTTTGGAAATGAATGCTCTTTATTGAGATGGAGAAAATGAGACCACTGCTGCTGAAGTGGTCTTATCAGAGCCAGAGTGGAAGGCTTCTGTAGCCCAAGTCAATGTGTCTTCCATCTCAACCCATAATCTCTGAGGATCACTTCATGCCTTAAATTAACTAGGGGTTTTAATTACTAATGCTCTTAAGATGGCTTTCTTCCAATTGTCTGAAGCTGAATTTTCTACACACCGGTTCTTTCCTCCTTTATTACTCTGAATGTTGTACCAGATCTTATAAGCATATTGCAGTTCAGTGTGCAGAAGTGTGAAGAAACTTTTACCTAATTCTGATAATCCTCTATCATCCTGTTTATCAGAAACAAAATTTTGAAACCTCTCAAATTGCAATACTTTTTTTCACTTTTCGTTTTCTGTTTTGATGCCTGTGACTAATATTTCACCTGTTTCATATTTGTTTTCTTGCTGATTTCTATGATAGACTATGCAAAAGCACTGCCACCAACAATTGTTTGAGAGCAGGATCAACTACTCCAAAGATTATGAAGCCCAAGATGGAGGGTCAGAGATGCACCAGTCATAATAACATTGTAAAATACAACTACTTTTATAGTTTGAGTTAAGACATTTGTGCAAGGTTTAAGAAAATTCCAAAAAATAGAAATTGATAAGTTAGAATTAATAATACAGAAGACTGGAGAATATTGTTTAAACATTTAATACAGAAATACCACTGTTCACCCACCCTCTGTACTGCTTCTGTGTTTTATGACTTAGCCTATAACTGTGATGGCAAACCTATGGCACGTTTGCCACAGGTGGCATGCAGAGCCATTTGTATGGGCACGCAAACCCCAGGCAAACTTATCTCACTGCGCATGTACACGCCTCCCGGCTGATTTTCAACCTATTTGAGGCCTTTGTTGGCCTGCCAGAGGCTTGAGGGAGGCCTTTGCAGGCCGAAATTTAGGCCTGTTTCGCCACTTCGGAAGTGACAAAATGGGCCTATTTTTTCGGCCTACAAAGGCTGCAGAGGCTTCCCTCAAGCCTCTGGAAGGCCGAAAATCAACTGGGAGGTGCAATGCAGGTAAGCGGGGTGGCGGCGGGGATCATGTGCATATGTGCTGGGGGCAGGGGGCGCAATGCCTTCTGAGTGCTGGCATGCAAGCATACGCATGCAAGCACACACACAATTTTTGGCACAGGAGCCCAAAAAGGTTAGTCACCACTGGCCTATAAAATTTAACATTTTTTTTCTCTTACACTTCTATTTTACCCTCTTTTTCCTTCAAGACCAAAGTTAGTAAGTTTACTTTATTGTCATTACACCTCATACAACAAAATCAAACACCATCTTCAGTGCACATCATGACCATGAAAATAAACACAAACACACATCCTTCACACTCCATACATTGAATTGAAAACCCCCAATACCACACCAACACTGCACTATACAGTAGAATTCAACAGAGCTACTGCCCTGGGATAGGGTTTTTCAGCCTATTTATCCTTGTTTTTATTATTCTGTTAAACCATTTCTTTTAATCCATCATTAAATTGAAACATTCCCTAGTGCAGGGGTCCCTGGCACCTGTCCTCAGCGTGCCAGAAACCAGGCTGCACAAACAAGTGAAGTCTCATCTGTGAGATGCAGGCAGCACATGAAACCACGCCCCCTCTGGTCCATAGAAAAATCTAGCTCTACAGAAGTGGTCCCTAGTGCCCAAAAGGTTGGGTACCGCTGGTCTAGTGGGTTGAAAAAGTTGCCCAACCACATCTTTCTCTTTTCAATATTTTTTTCCTATACTATTTCCCCTCACTTCCGCACCGCTTTTTTGAGCAGGAACCCACCCCCAACTTACAACTTCCCCATTGATCATCATACGATCAAAATTCAGGCACTTGGCAACTGGCATGCACTTAATGACGGTTGCAATGTCCTGGTGACATGCGGTCACTTTTTGCGACCGTCTGATAAGCAAAATCAATGGGGAAGCCAATTTCACTTTAACCTTGTTATTAACGTAAGAACTGTAGTGATTCATTTAATCATCATGACAAGAAAGATCATAAGAAATTGTGGGCTCTAATGTGGTTGTAAGTGAAAGAATTCCTGTGTAGCAGAAGCTGCATTTCTTTCCTGAATTGTACTATTCAGATCTCATTGGTAGGGGAGACTCTGCAAAAATGACCTTCTTATATACAAACAGCTATGTTCTGGCTCAGCTTTTTCTTTGTCCAATTTAATAAATCGCCATTCAATGGATTTTGGGTGCAACAGACCAAATTTATGTTTGGATTTCAAATGTGAAAGAACAGACAAGTCCATTTTTCCTATAGGCTGTTGGGACTACTGACATAGGTAATGATATAAATAGTTTACATCATTTGCATAAGATAAACTATGTCAGTTTGGATTTAATAAACAGCCCAGTCACGATCTTAAATTAAAGTTAATATGTACGGGGAAGAAAATTCAGAGCTGTAGATCCCCCAGATATCAGATGCTATAATCCAATGTTATGGTTCGTGTTGCTTAAATATGCTTTTAAAGAAGTATTCACAATGGTACAAAAGACATAATGGAACTTCTATATTTACCAAGCTTTATGCATATAAAATGAATTGGCCTCTGTAATAATCCCAGTAATTGGTATTAAGTGCTCATGGGATTTTAATTAGCACCCTTTAAAAAACTGGTATATTTGCATAGGTTACAGTTGGGATCAAGATATTAAAACAATTCCAGTCATTTAGGAGATTAGTCAGATGAATTATGTCTTCAAATTATAACTTGGGGCATAATTGTAGAGTTAGAAAGATGATCTTGGGGAAAAGAGGCAAGGACGGTTATCTAAGCAAAGAGGGATATAACACAGGGAAGTAAAACACAATCAGAGTTGCAAGATTCTACTACTATAGGCTAATCGCAAAAAGACTATAGCTGCAATCTTTCTGTCAGTTTCCTGATTTGGGCTACCTTGTAGGGCTGACAATAGAATTACTATTTTCTGTAGCTAATCTCGGATATATGGTAAGATACATCTCCACTTTGTATTTTTGGAAAATCAGACTAAATGTAGATTAAACAACCAATTGGTACAAGTCCATCTTTTCTTATTAATGTATTATGAGCTGATAGATGTTTGGGATGCAACATTTTGTTGCAAAAGTAGAAATGCAGCCAGTTAGGGAAACAAAATTTTTGGATTAAGGAGGACGATAGCTTGCAATTTGGGAATTTGTCTTTTTTATCTTGTTTACAGGCAAATAAATTATTTAAAGTATTTGTCAGCTTAAGATAAAGGGAAAGGGTTTAAATTGCATTTCTAAAGTGTGCTTTTTGATTTTTTTTTGCATATTTTTATGTATTGCTTTGATCAAAGGGATTGAAAAATTCCAAATCTACTTGAAAAATGTATATATGTACTGCTTTTTGTTCTGTTTACCAAGAAACTTGTATAAAACAAATTAGCACTTGAAAGTTATTTTTAAAAATTACTTTTGTTTTTAAAAACACTTTTGAAATAGTACATGCAGACCAAAATTTTAGCCATGTATGCTTTCTGAGGCAGAGGGAAAGAAAAGAAAAATCTATATACAGTGATGACAAACTGATTATGCTTTATTAAATAGCGCCTAACTATATTTAAAGATATATGGGTGGTAGTATTTTTTTTCTATTACAGTGATTTAAAAGCAAGGAAACTTAAAATGCCATTGGGGACATATCCCCATATGAAAGAATGACAAGGCTTGTACTTAATAAATACAAGGAATGATCTTTGAAAAGCTAAGCATTGTTAATACTTATACCAACCATGTAACTATGGAAAATCCTGTTACTAGTCTACAAGAACATTTTACTATTGCTTAATCACACATGCCATAAAGGATACCTCAACAGCTTTAGTCCGTATATGTTTCTTTTTTTCCCTTAAAGCTGAAATTCAATCAAATGGCTTTTTAGTAAGGCTGGAATTAGAACCTTCCCTTACAACAAAACTGCTGATTGGCAGGATTGCAAAAACTATGTAAAGGAACTTTAGAAATACATCCTCTGATCATTTCATTTAACAGATTCCAGAATTCACCCTTTGATCAGAAAAACATTACCAACCAAGTGCTACAACTGAATTTCTATCAAATATTGAAACACGTGCATTAAGCCAGAATCCTTTACACATGGCAGCAAATTCCTCTGGGTACAATTACAGCTACTATTATCCTATATGCATAGGATTATAGTATTAGTATGGCTATTTGAAATACTTATGCAAAATAGCTAAAAATACGGCTACAAACAATATCTGAATAAGTAACACGTCTAGATAGAAAACTCTGTGAACACCTAAAATCTTCCAAGCCTGGTACTGTTCATTTATAACCTGGAAGCACATTTAACTTCAAAAGTCAGTTTTCTAAATTTACTTACATTGTAAATTGTACAATCTGTAAAGCTGGGGAAAAAGAAGAAGCAGGGCTTCCTGGGTTATTTACTTGCATAGCAAAATAAATTACCTAACCTAAACAACCTTAATAGATCAAAGAATCCAGATTCTGTTTTATTTCACAAATGCAGAATATTCACAACCCTGTCTACTAAAGTTTAAGCAAAAACAAAAAAAAGGCACATTTTCAAACCTCTCTGAATATAATAACTGCGAGATTAGTTTATCAAATAACATTTATTTAATTCAAGTTCTTAAAAATACTTTTTCTGTTGTTGCATAAAACATCCTAATGTAAAAAATATCCAATGGCTTAGAAAAGGAACAAAAGGCAGGGAAAGCAAAGCATGACGAGCAGTCCCCAAAACTTTAGGACTCTATTTACAAAGCCTTGTTGTACAGAGAGTAAAAAGGGAAGTCCAGTCCGTGGGTGATGTGGAGCCCCTACAGCCAGGACTGGCCCACCACACTTGTTCTTCTTGCTAGGGCAATGGGGAGAGATGAAGGCCTGGGAACTCCAAGGGGATAAGTGAAGGTGCTAGCCCAAGGAGGCTAGGGTCTGTAACCACCCGGAGAAATCAGCTGCAGGGTACATGGAATGTCACAGGAATAGCCGACTCTTTGGCTTTTTTTTTTTTTTGAGTGCTGCGCTTGGAGGGGGAGAACTACAGGTGCGTCACACGTGCTCCTCAAGTCACAGATCATCCAAGGGGTACCCCAAGAAATACTGAACAGTCCTTTGGAGACACAGAAGAATTCAGTCATCCTCTTCCTCCCCTTCATCATCTGTTTCTCTTTTTCGTTTTTCACCTTTCCTATTCTCTTCTTCAACTGCAGAACAAGGGAGAAATTTTTCCATAATGACTGTTCCAAGAACATACAGTGCATTCAGTTGAATTATCTAATAAGCCTATTACAGGCTCCATAAAGGAAGAAGTTTTAGAAACCTCCACAAATTATTTACTATTGACCATGCTGACCGGATGTAGTAACCATTTTAATTAAAAAATACCTGAAAAATACCTCATCTCTACGTATAGAAAAGCAGCTAATGGTACACATTGTTTTATACAGTCGCGCCAGGAATGACTGCTTCTGGAATCCAGCAGGGATGGTCACAATGGCAATCAGGTGACCCAGTTCACTACAACACTGTCATCGTAAGCTGGGCAGTTCGCAGTTACGACATTGCAACAGGCATTGAGATGTTGCAACAGGCAGAATTTGGGGGATTGAGTATAGGTCTTTTTTTTTTCAAAACCTCCATAATGATCCCCAAACAAATGGAAATAAGGTACATTCCAGTACTGAGTGGCCAACAAATCATTATTATCATCTTCCAAATTTGCACTGTTATTTCACTGGTACTTTTACCAATACTTTTATTTAACATTCCCGAAAGTTTCTAAAATAAAAAGACTGGCATCAAAATTTACACATACCTTCTTCCTTTTCATCATCATCATCGTCATCATCATCTTCTTCATCTTCTTCACTGTCATGGACAACCTTTTCCTCCTAAAAACAATAATAGGTTTGCCTTAGAAAGTACAGCATTTTTCAGCGTATAAGACACTCCAAAGTATAAGGCGCACCTAGCCTTTGGGGAGGAAAACAAGAAAAAAAAAAATCTGCCTCTGCCTCCCAGCAATTTGCTTCTTTACAGCAAACAGCCTCTTTCAGCTTCAGCACAGCCTGACAAGCAGCTGATTGTTGGTTGGATCGGCCTCCCAATCAGCTGTTTCCAGGCTGCAGGGATTGCCATAGCTGCCTCCGCGTGCCCCATTTTTGGCCTCTGCGTGCCCCATTTTCAGCCTCTGTGCGCCCCATTTTTGGCCCGTTCCAGGTGGCAGGGTCCTGGCTTGCTCTCTCTATAAAAGCCCTATAAAGCTCTACATGGGGTAGGCCTGGTTGCTTGAAAGCACCTGAATCCCATAGCATCTGCCTGGTTGATTTGATCCTGCAGGTCAGCATGCTCCAGGTTCCACTGATCCACCTATCAGGACCTCTGAAGAGCACCTTCTATAGCAGTGCTTGTTCTCTATAACAAGATCCCCCTCAAAATACAGATGATCCACACTCTACTGTTGTTTTAGAAGAACTGAGAAGATGTGGCTCTTCATCCAGGCACTTGGTAAGGGAGATACTTGCCATCTAACTTTTATGTTTCACTGATTTTGTTGTAATTTGTTTGACTGTTGTAAGCGTCTCAGAATCATTTGGGGCGTGATGGTATGATTGTAATAGTACTAGAAGTAATAAAAAGAATAGCTACTCTTCTTGTAATTTGATAAATAAGCATAAAATTTTACTGCAGAGTAAAGAGAAAACAATATTTTAAACCAACCTCTCCACTATTTTCCTCTTCTTCATCTTGTCCCCCTTCATAACCAAAGAAACCATAAAATGAATCCTCGTCTTCGTCCTCATCCTCATATATGTCGTCGTCATCGTCATCATCATCATCTTCTGACAAAAACAGAAGAGCTTATATATATCAAATAGGGAATCTATCATAAAATCACAATGATATTAATTTCAAAGGATTTCCTTTTAGATATTATTCTACAAACAACTGCTAAAAAGAGCACATATTGATATCGACTAATGTTTCATAAATTTTATCCAGACTTGCAATTTATAAGTTAAGCAGAATGAAAGACAGTATGAGTTTAAATTGTCAGTCTAAGAGAGGTTGGGTAATAATTTGCAATCTGTTACAACATTGTACTATATTACTACAGATTCCTTAATATATTATGATCTGGATCCCCCATGTTATCCCTTTAAGTGTCCATATATCCCTACAAATTTCACTAGGCATCCACCAGGCTCCATGCCCCCAATGGTAACTCTGCCCATCAATTCAGAAAACAGCAAATTGAGTTATAACCATACAATCAGGCAAAGGCAATAAAAGGGAACATCACATTCCAGTTTTTCTTCTGTAAAAGTGATGTGTTTTGTGATGTATCATATAAGCCATAATAGTTATTCTATGCTTTAAAACTGATCTTTCTCAGCTCACATAAGTATTTTTGATTCAAATACAGTGGATACAAAAAAAATCTACAGACAAATGCCAGGTTTTTTTGAAACGTAAAAATATCATAACAAGATAAATCACTTCCATTTTTTTCCACTTTTAGTGTAGCATAGCATAGCGTAGCATAGCATAACATAATTCAACTGAAAAACAAACTGAAATCTTTCAGGGGAAAAATAACTAAATATAGTAATAACATGGTTTTATATGCAGGGATGTGGCTGTGTTTACAATTAAACAATCACATTCAAACATGGTAAATACACAGTATACACCTGCAGTACACACATCAATTAAAGTGACTCTGATCAAGCCCATATAAAGTTCAGCTGTTCTACCAAGATTTTTCTGACATTTACTCAGTTGCCTCTGACAGCAATAACCACAGTCTTGCAAAAGAGCTTCCAAAGCATCAAAGGGATCTCATTGTTGGAAAGTACCACTCAGGAAAAAGGTACAAAAAATCTCCAAGCATTTGATGTATCATGGAACATAATGAAGACAGTCATCAACAAGTTGAGAAAATATGGCACACCAGTAACATTAGCTAGAACTGGATGTCCCTCCAAAATGATGAAAAAAACAAGAAGAAAATTGATCCTAGAGGCTGCATCAACATTAAAGGATCTGCAGAAATTTTTGGAAAGTACTGATTGTATACTACATGTGCCGACAATATCATCTATTTTTATATGTTTGGTCTATGGGGTGGGGTGGCAAGACCAAAGCTTTTTCTTAAAAAGAAAAACTTCCAATCCTAGCTATATTTTACAAAAGCCTGACAAAAGCATATGGGAAAATGTGTCATGATCTGATAAGATCAAGGTTGAACTTTTTGGCCATAATTCCAAAAAGTATGTTTGGCACAAAAACAAGACTGTGTGTCACGAAAAATATACTACATCAACAGTGAGGCATCGTGATGGTGGCATTATGCTTTGGGCTGCTTTTCTTCTGCTGGAACTGGGGCTTTAGTCAAGATGGAGGGAATTATGAACAGTTCCAAATATCAGACTATTTTGGCAGAAAATCTTTTAGGTCTTTGCTGAAGATGAAGAGGAATTTCACCTTTCAACACAACAACTCAAAGCATAAGTCTAAATCAACAAAAGAATGGATTCACTAGAAGATAAATGTTTTGGAATAGCCCATCTAGAACCCAGACCTGAATCCAATTGAAAGTCTGTGGAGAGATCTGACAAGTCTGACAAGAGTCCCTCATTATCTGACAAATTTGGAGCGCTTTTGCAAGGAAGAGTAGGCAAAGGTTCCCAAGGCAAGATGTGCCATGCTGATAGGCTCTTTTCCCAAAAGACTGAATGCTGTCATAAAATCAAAAGGTGCTTTAACAAAGTATCATTTTTAGGGTGTACAGTTATACAACCATATTATTGTACATTTTTACTGTTGTTTCCACCCTTAAAAGATTTCACTTTCTTTTTTAATTGAATTGTACAGCTTATGTGTTATATTAAAGGTGGAAAAAATCCAAAGTGCTATATCTTGGTCTGATTTTTTTACATTTCAAAAATATGGTATTTTAACAGAGTTTTGTAGACTTTTCATAGCTACCATATGGCAGAAAACATTTCAAATTTGGTAAATTAGTTTAATGCAGTGCTCCAAATGACTCAAATATCATATTTACATGAGGCAGACCTTGGTCATAGGCAAAAATTAACCTTTTACAATCCACAATTAATATGATTAAGCTCACCTTCCTCATCGTCCTCATCGTCCTCATCAAAACCATCTACTTCAGCATCTGAGTCAGAAGCCTCTTTATCTTCCTGATCATATCCATCCAGATATGTGAGTTGTGGAAGAAGTGTGAAGACACACTCTCGGTAGTCATTTAGATTTGTTACTTCACAGTTGAACAGGTCAAGGCTCTTCAGAGAGTCCAACTTTTTCTGAATTAAAAATACGTTTTTGTTAGTTTTAAGCTAACATTAGCATTAATATATTGACGTCATACACAAACCTGGCAAGGTATGCTCATAATTTCAGTTTGGATCAGGAGGCGAATGAGATAACCAAAGCCATGTACTGAGCTAATACAGCTTATTCTTTCATGACATTCCAAATTAAATATGATTTCACAATGTAATTAACCTAACATCCCTAAAAAACAAGCCTTGAATTTTGAACTTACCATATACATTTTTCACTTAGTCAATATCATAACAGGAATGTTATATAATATAATATTACATTTATTATTAAAACATTTTTAAAGAAATCCCCCTTAATCGGTGTGAATTAATCTAAAGCTATTTCAGTTCATTGAAAGATCCCTTTCTGTTTTTTGTGTGAAAAGAAAAACAAGATCTAGTGATGCCATCTCCTTGACATTCTACTTTTTTTAAAATGAAAAGTCCCTTCTTCCCTGTCCATGAGACACTTCTTTCTATCTCACACTGAACTCTTATATTCTAGGTTGGATAATAGCAAAAGCAGACTGTGTACAAATATGACTTCCTCCTATTCTAATACATAGTTCCATATTAGTTAATATTTTAGGATGATTTGTAACAATAAGTTATTGTTGTCTGGCATTACAACTGACCTAAGCAGCTTTAATATTCTGATTTTTTGTGAGGTAGAAAAACAATTTAAGAATTATAATCTACCAGAAAAAAAGTGTCATCTAATCAGAAAGAAATCACATGTATTGACATGAAAACACAATAATCTTGAATAGAAATATAGTATCAATGCTAACTTAGATTATACCAACAGTCGACAAAGAAATTAAACTGTCCTGCACAAACATTTCAATGCTCTCTTTAAGATGAACTAGCATCTTCTTATGCCTACTGGAAAGCATATACCTTTCCAAGATATTAGCTACTGAAATGGGGTTAGGCTCAAATGCTGAAAGTTATGTACAAAATGTAACACATGTGATTCGGACACATTCAGTGTGAGTTCAACATCTACCACTGGTATTAGTATTGTTAACTCCACTTAGACATATAATAACCTTTTCATGACATACCAATGGTTCCAAAGTATCAATATCCTTCAGTTTATTTCCACTGAGATTTAAATGTGTGAGGTTAGGAAGTTTTTCTGCTAATACATCAAGGCCTCCAGAAATTCTGTTCTCACTGAGTTCAAGCTGCAATGAGAAAAGAGATACACAGGGGAAATGGCACATTAGCAATAATGCAATTAGAATTCAAGAAGTCTAAAGATGCAGTATAAGTAACATTGATGGCCAGGCAGTCTTCATTATCAAGTACTAACAAAAAGCAGACTAATAAAGAGATGTTTAAATAGTTCGGTTACTTAGCTAAAATGCAGTTCTGCCAGGAATTACATCTTGTTAATTTACATTATAAGAAATACAACCATACAGTGTTGCCAAACAAGATCCAGTCTATCACCCAAATCAAGAAAGACAGGCCCATGTGGTCGTTTTTCTAGATGGATTTCTTCAGTGGAGTCCCAAGAACTGCAACTTGGTGAAAATTGTCTTTTGGATATTTGTTGTTTCCTTACAGAATTGCAGCAACCTGAATATTGCTTGGAAACAAGTCTATGTTTTAAAATACAATGTTTCCCACAAAATAAGACCTGGTCTTATTTTCTTTTGAGCCCCCAAATAAGCACCAGGTCTTATTTTCAGGGAACATCTTAATTACTTACCTTAGGACCACTGCAGCCAGGCCACCCATGCTCTGACACCTGTCGTGCCAGTGCCCAACTTCTTCTGCAGCCACTTGTGACCAGACACGGTGTGGCACTGGCACAATGCATCATGTGGCATCCAACTGTGAACAGTCACAGAAATCAAGCAATGGTGCAACAGGTATCGGGGAATGGGAGGCCTGGCTTTAGCGGTCCTAAGTTAAGTGGGTATGGGACAAACAAAATTGTTCCTTTGATCAAAAAGCAACATAAAATATCATAAAATGAAAGAGATACAAAAGAATTACAACAATATATGAAATATTAACATAATTATACTTTTAGATCAAACCTAAATTTTATGAGTAAAATTAAGTCATAGGGATATGAAAGGCAATGAAAGTGAAAAAATACACTCCATAAAATAATGCAAAGCAATTGTTAAACATGCGTAACCCAAGTAGAAATTCAGTATCAGCTTAACTTTGCTCTAAAGAAACAATTATTACAACCAAAGACCGGGCAGATAAAATGCATTATTTCAGTAATATACAGTATAAAATGAATCTCTAAAGGATGCATCAACACAATGTAGCTTTTGGTTGCTATACACATAGATATTTTGTTATTCTTGTTCAGTCTTCCTATTTTAGCTGTGCTTTTTTTCTGTAGTCTTGCTGAACTTCTTACAATACAAATATTTCTTTCTCTTTGATTTCTTCCATATCTTGATACTCTTTACTGAGATATATTTCTTTACCATTCCTTGAAGTTGGTGTTTGGTTTCTGTATGTCCTTCAGGCTTTAATCCATGTTTTTTCTTATTCTGAAAGCCATTTCAATCTTTTTCCTTTTACATTTTTGTAACATTTTTGCTTCTCATTCTCATTTATTTATTTCTATTCTTCCAAGTAGAAAGATGCCAAAATTTGTTGATACAATTTTCACTGCAATTTTATGTTCCTAGATATTATGAGTTTTGTGCACCTTACTCTTTAGGTTTTCTTTTGCTTGAGTGTACTAAATCAGATCCTTATATATTGCATGTCCTCTAGCTGAATGACACACCCATTTCATTTTAGTATTAACCCCTATAATTCATAGTTTGAATCACACAGCCTCCAGGCACTTGGGCAGAACCTTGACAGCCTAACTTGGCTGACCTGGCCATCTGGAGCGCATTTTTCCATCTTCTGGTTTCTATTATGCAAGCAAGTTGACTTCCATGTTTGTATATCCAGGAGTTAGAACATAGACATTGGGTATTGCCAATAAACATTTTTTTTCCCCACAGAATTATATTAACCTCCTTAGAATAGAATAAGAGATGGAAAGGGCCTTTAGAGGTCTTCTAGTCCAACCCCCTGCTTAGGCAGGAAATCCTATACCATTTCAGACAAATGGTTGTCCAATCTCGTCTTAAAACTTCCAGTGTTGGAGCATTTACATCATTTAGGTCTTCTGGAGGTAAGGTGTTCCACTGATAAATTGTTCTAATTGTCAGGAAATTTCTCCTTAGTTCTAGGTTGTGTCATCATTTGTTTTAAAAGTTTCAGACATGTCAAAAAAGGTTTCTGGCAATATAATGCAGAGGTTGTTTGCCACTGACTTCTAATATTTTATTTTGTAGTTTGTTGCCCGAGGTAGGGTGTCTCTCTCTCTCTCTCTCTTCCTCCCCTCTCCCCCCCTCCACGCCAAATCTAAAGCGAGCAAAGTTTAGAATATGGAAAAGCCTAGTGGTTCCTAGAATTGCATTCAGGCTCTTCTTTCACCAAGGGAACATCCCTGAGGGAGCATATAATGGAGAAATCTATCTAACAACTTCAACACTCCCCTCTAACATAGAATATTTCAGAGGTGGGTAGTTGCTTCCAGTTTTCATAAATTACTACATTAAGGGATGCAGAAAAATATTCTGCAGAATTTACTGGGGAACAGAATTCCAACAACAACCAAAGACTTTATAGTACATCTTAAGAGGTAATAAGTACGGGGGGCGGGGGGGGGCAGAAACCTTTGAAATGATCAAATAAAAGAAGAGACATGGAGAGAACATCCCCCATTCCTAATCTACAAAACAAGATTGATAGTTTTAAGTCTTATCCAAATTGCTAAGCAAGGAGTTACATTATAAAAGTCAGGGAAAGATCTGAGTGATATACTTGAGCATTATTCAGTCCAAAAAAAAAAGTCCCTCCTGCCTGGCAATGAAAAGTACAGTGAGAAAAGAGACAAAAGCACTGGCAATCAGGGCTACCAGGCATCAAGATGCAATCAGAGGACTCATGCACTGATATAATTACCATAGCAATGGAGTGTGGGATAAAGAAACCATATACAAAACTAATTGCTTCAAACTGAAAATATATTCTCTAATGATACCAGGTCGTGTCCATTTTCTTGTAAAAAACACTATTTTATAGCAACAAACAAGTCCCCTGAGAGTGTTTCCCACTGAAGCAACCATTCAGAGGTATAATGTTGGAAAATTGGGGCATCCATCTGGGTGCTGAGTGACTCCATTAAATAGATAATACGTTAACTTCCATGAGAAATATCTAACCAAAGGTGCATGAATAGGAAAACCGTACCTTTTGTTTGTTGATACACTGAACAAGCTGAACAAAAATGTTAAATGTAAATAACATGTTAAATGTTAAGTAACAAAATGTTCTAACTAAACTAAACCAGCTAGCGGCACCTCAACACATTTGTAAGTGGATCATAAGCTTCCTAACAGACAGGAAGTAGCAGGTGAAGCTAGGCGGAATCACATCCGATACCTGTACAATCAACACAGGAGCCTCCCAAGGCTGTGTGCTTTCTCCACTTCTCTTCTCCCTATATACCAATGACTGCATTTCGAACAATCCATCTGTTAAAATACTGAAGTTTGCTGATGACACAACAGTGATTGGTTTCATTTGAGACAACGATGAATCTGCATACAGACAGGAGGTGGTGTAACCGGAACAATCTGGAACTGAACACACTCAAAACCGTAGAAATAGTGATAGTCTTTAGGAGAAATCCTCCCATACTACCACCTCTTACAATGCTAGACATCACAGTATCAACAGTAGAGACCTTCAAATTTCTAGGTTCTATCATATCACAAGATCTAAAATGAGCACCTACCATCAAAAATGTCATCAAAAAAGCACAAATTTTCTTTCTGTGCCAACTCAGAAAGGTCAAACTGCCCAAGGAGCTGCTGATACAGTTCTACAGAGGAATTATTGAGTCTTGTCATCTGCACCTCTATAATTGTCTGCAACCCAGCAGGACAGACACAGACTTCAGAGAGTAATTAGGACTGCAGAAAAAACAATTACTACCAACCTGCCTTCCACTGAGGACCTGTATACTGCACAAGTAAAAAAGAGGGCTATGAAAATATCTACAGATCCTTCGTATCCTGGACATAAACTGTTTCAACTCCTACCCTCAAAACGACACTATAAAGCACTGCACACCAGAACAACTAGACACAAGGACAGTTTTTTCCTGAATGCCATCACTCTGCTAAACAAATAATTCCCTCAACACTGTCCAACTATTTACTAAGTCTGCATTACTATTACTATTAACCTTCTCATCACTCCTTATCACCTATCCCCTCCCACTTGTGACTGTATGACTAACTTTGTCGTTTGTATCCTTATGATTTATATTGACTGTTTCCTAGTATGATTTGATTGCTTATTGTACCCTAAGTGTTGTATCTTATGATTGACTCTTGATGAATGTATCTTTTCTTTTATGTATACTGAGAGCCTATGCACCAAGACAAATTCCTTGTGTCCAATCACACTTGGCCAATAAAAGAATTCTATGTTATGTTGCACAATGCAGCCAATAGTCAACATGGGGGGAATGTGTATCCCAAACAGATGCAGACATATAATCATACATTGTAGCATATTATATGGAAACATCTAGCTCCAGGATCCATTCAGGAAAACAATTCCTCTCCCATCAGAACAAAATAAGCTAATCTGAAATATGACTATCCTGAATTTATTGAGCTAAATATTATTTGATGACTTGCAAAGATCTATTAGCTTCACTTCATTGTCAGTTTTGAGGATGACAAAATAATAAATTCCAATTCACATGGTACTTGATCATACTTTTGTTTTGAGCAAAACTTCATACAGTTCTGCACTTCAATGCAGAACTGGAAAGGATAAACAATACTGCAAGGCTTGAATTCTATGGTATGCTCCATAGCTATCAAAGTTGAGACTAAGACTCTGTAGTGTAGGATTTCTATCTTTGGAGAGCAGCTGCCAGTGGGAACTGAAGCAATGATCCTAGAGATTATATGCTAAAAATCAAAGAGTATTTCTGCAAAGTTTTTTGTAAAAAGAAAAAGGGAGACAGCAGTTTTGAGAAAAGTTGTTCCCTGATGTTGCCCACTAGCTTATAGCAACTGCAATGCTAGAGAAGGGCAGCTTAATTCCAACTATGGGTCTTATTTGCAGC